CTGTAGTGAGCGCTCCAGAAAGGCTGCACGGGGTGGGTCGTGGGTCTGGGTAAGCAAGTTACCGAACCTTCCTGCACCTGGGCCGTGCCTTCTGCCTGAAGTGAGGAGCCAGCCTGTGGCAGGCTCGGAGGAAGACTCCCGCGGCTGCCAGAGCAGGCTTGGGCCACCGTCCTGACCGGCCTCGCCGCCTTTGCTGAGGAGAGTGCTGCTGTGTGTGGCGCCCTCCTCAGCCCCTCTGAAGCGTACCTGGAAACACCTGTGGTATAGTGCTGGGTCTGAGCCTGTCTTGCTGAAAAGCTGATAACCTAGAGGCCGGGCAGGACTTGCAAAGGGGTCTTGCGAATGGCGAATGAAGGAGCCAGCAGCGGTCTGTCTTCTGCTTAGTCAAGGAACTACTCAGTCCGGGAGTCCGTAGCAAAATGGTGCCTGGCTTCCAAAGCACCCACTGGCTAGGGGCACGGCAGCCCTCAGAAAGCAGTGCTCGGTTGGTACGGGCAGTGAAAGGACCTCTATGATACAAACAACAGCCAGGCACGGTGGTACATACCTGTGATGCCAGCACTCTGGGAGACTGAGGAGGGAGGATTGCAGGTTTGAGCCTAGCTCAGGCAAATTACTAAAACCCTGTTCTTGGGTCTGTCACACTAATCTCATTCCCTAGGTGGATATATACTTGAGACGTCTTGCTGCCTTGTCCCCCAGGCAGCCCCGCTGACTTACAGTTCCGCTGGAGAGGATGTGGGCCAGTTCCTTGGGCCCTGGCCACCGCTGGGCTTTATTCAGCTTTCTGATTTTGGCTGAGCTGATAGTTGGAGGTTTGGTTTCCACGTCTTGTCTTGAGTGAAAGCGAGCACATTTTCCTCTCTGCCATTTACAGGTCACAGTGTGGAAGCCATCTGTTCGTGTCCTTTGCCCGTCAGCCGTATTTTCTAACTACCTTTGGTTTTTGTATCGTATGTCACAGAAGAGCAGTTTTGTAGGGCAGGAGCATTGAGAAGGGCAGAAGACTGGGGCCATGGGGAATCCTTCCCTCGAAGCGCTGTTGCCTTTATGAGCTCAGAGAGGGCCCCTCCTGAGCTAAGACTGTAAGGACGCAGGAAGGGACAGAAGTGCCAGACTCCTGGAGGCACAGTGATGTGGCTGGTGGGCTGCTGCTGGCAGCTGGAGGAGGTGACGAACGTGATGCCTTAGACACGTGCCTCAGACGCAGGGGCGGGAGCACACTTACACCTCAAGGTAGCACAGCGCTCTGTGGACACAGCGCGGCCGGGGCCAGGTGGCACCACGCTGTCTTCAGTGCCACCAGGACCTGACAAGCCCTGCCCTGTAGCCCAGGGTGGAGACACGTGGCCCGAGTGCGAGGGGAGGCAGAGGGGCCCTCAGGGCTTCAGAAACACTTTGGCGGAGGTGGGACAGAGAGCCGGGCCCTTACCTCAAGAGTGCAATGGAGCAGTGGAGGGGAAACGCGTATCTCTAGCAGGCCAGTGGCTTACGGGTTATAGGAACAATAAAAACACGAGACAGCATTTTATGAGGAGTTTGCAAAAACAAAAAACGCCGTCTATGAGGTTAAAGTGAGATTTTTAAAAGAGTAATGTTTTCATGACAAAGACCGGCAGGAACAGGACGCCCCCCTGTGGCGGGAGGAGGTTCGGGCTCCGCTGTTCTCCACTTGGCCAGCGCGGGTCTCGCTCTGGGAGCCCCGTGTTAGAACCGGGCGGAGAAGTCGGAGTGGGCTCGCAGAAGTACTTGCAGTATTACTGAAGTTGTGGGAAGTAAGAATAACTTCAATAGACGTATTTAAATATGACAAGGAATTAGGAGAAATACCCCAGTGCTTAGAGGTTTCGCCACCGAGGCTGAGGGCCAGATTTTAGGAACTCAAGTAACTGTGGTGAGTAATCAGACTCATCGTTAGAATAAGAAAATCAGGAAACTGTAAGCAACCTTAATGATACGCAACTGTTTAAGCTTTACTTACACGAAAATTAGAACATGAAACCTATTTGACAGTGTATGGTGCAAATCCAGAAAAAGAAAAGCCAAAACAAAAGAAAGGCATTATATAAATGCTCTTAACAATGCAGACACTTACATCTATTAAATACATAATCCGCACTTATTTAAATGCAGTATATATTTTATAATGACCTCTGCAGTCAATTCCAATCAAAAGCTACACAAAATATTTAATGTGACTGATTTCAACAATTTCAACTAAACCCACAGTTCTGATGTGAAACTGGAAGCCTGTCAGCTGACACACAGGACATGTGGAGGAATGACTCCTAGGAGACTTACTTTGGTTAACAGAGAGGCAATGCTGGAGTGCTGCTAATACTCAGCTCGAGATGAAGATGAGGTAGTTTTATTTTTCTGCTGTTGAATCCTGTGCTGTGTTCTAAACTACACTGTAAGAGAATGTTAGGCCGGGAAGGAGTCGTAGCAGCGGACAGATGAGCAGGTGAGGCCAGAGAGCCGCGGGGATGAGGCGGCGCACGAGGGCTCGGAAGCAAGTGCTCCCGCAGCGTGCAGGTGTGGGCTTGCTGGCGCTGCACGGAATCTCCCTGTGGCCCCTCAGCCCACTGGTCGTGCCAGTTTTGGAGAGCTAGCCTTCATTAAGCAAACCAGCGTATGTCGTTGAATCCAAGGAGCGAGGGACTCGCCGCCACAAGCCTTGTGGGTGTGGCAGCCTTGGGCTAATGGGCCTGCCTGTGGTGACGTGGCCGGTGCTGTGGGTCTCTCGGTGACTGGTGGTGATGTGTACCCTGCACCTGCTTTGTGAGAGTGTGGTGAGGAGTCACCTTCAGGAGCTGTGTCACCACCCCGGGGCCCCTGCTGTTCAGAGCTCCACCCCGCAGAGACCCGGAGTCCACCCGGCCTAATGCTTCCTACCTCCAAAGGCACCTTGGCTTCCAATTGAGAACATCTGCCTTTAACTCCTACAGGAAGAGCTCGTCTCCACGTCACTGAATTACCATAAAGGTGTACAGAGAATGGTACCACCATTTTGAGCTCCTCTGTCCCTTTATGTAACCTAAAGAAAGCCCTTACATTTCTCCAAGGAAAGAGTTCTGTGTTCTTGTGTGCTTTTGCTTAAATGTACGTAATGTAGAAAGGAATGTCTTTAAAGTGCACTTGAAATTATGTAGCCTAACTTGAAATACTATAGGAGAAACATTTGCTGAATCTATGTATAGCCAGTAGCCACTGATAAACATTTGTATGTCTTAAGCAGTCTTTAAGAACCCAAGTTGATTGCAAATGAAGCAGCAAAAAATTATCAATGAAGTGAAATATTTCCAAAGGTATTGATTAATAATTGCCCTGGAATCACTTGGATTTGGAAGAGAATTTTTTTCCTTTGATTTAGGTGCTTTTCCTAGCACAGCGGTGTAAAATCTAGCCCTAACCTCCCCTCTTGTGGAGAAAAATAATTTAGAATACGGTCACTTCATCTCTTTGTTATTTTTTCCTTTTGAGATAAAAAAGTAAATATATAATTTGCTACCTTTTCTGACTTCCGAGTGGAATGAGGGTTATTTTGATCCCACAATAATTGCTCTCCTGTTGAACATTTCTGTGGTATTTTTAGATCTCTGAAAGGGCAGGCCAGAGGGCCTTTTCTTACAATTTTCTTTGGATTTTCTCTACATCCTGTTTCATGTGTGGTTAGATCAGCTGATGAGTCACCTGATGTTTTGCCGTTTCAAATGACAGAAATAGAGATTCAAAATAACCACACAGAGAAGTATCTCCAATGTTTACCAAACGCATTGCTCAAAAACATGCTTTCCTACGGTTCAAGTGCTTTTGATAAAAGCCCTGTGTAGGCAGCCGTGGGAAGGTGTGCGGCGGATGTCTCCGTCGCGAAGTCAGAGTCTGTCCCGGTCCTCTCACAGCCTGTGCTGCAGTGCTCATTGTAAGCAGAGGTGGGTGCAGAACTTCGAACAGGAAGGCCCCCTCTCCCGGACTGTGCCCTGGTTTGATGGATGAAGACTTCACCCTCACTACAGAGCCAGAACTATGGCCAATGCGTACAGACAGGCACATGATGTTCTGGGCACTGGTCTGCTAGAGATTTACTAACGTAGGGAGCTTTCTAAAAACAGGAAAACATTCTTCAAGGTAATGTAATTCCATGACAATATTACAGATACTTTCTATTTTGCAACACACGCACATTCTTCCGCTGCAGTTTGAAGGGGAAAAATGTCAGAGGTACTGAGTCTAAGGGGGTGTGTTTCTAGAAACCAGCGGTACAGAAATAGTTCCTCTCCCTCTTCCCTTTAGAAGATCCCCAAATAAGGAACAGTGGGGAGGGAAAGGAGCTGCGACACTTTTGTACTTCTAAAGGCGTAGTTGAATAACTCTTCCCATTGTTAGGAGGTGCCATGGTTTTCTCAACCCTGCTAAATTTAGAAAGGGCTGTGAGGTATCCCGGCAGTCTGGAGACCGGATTCCTGGGCTCCATGGGTCCCCTTCCTTGGGGCTCTGACCCCTGGCACCTCCCAAGCTTAGTTACTGGGAAAACTGCCCTTAAGTATCGCACCTCAGTTTTCCGTGGGCTTGTCTGATCTACCGTAAGTCAGTATGAAGTGTTCCAACTTGTGAAGCCTTCCACAGACACGTTGAAGCCAGACCACCTGCTGACACTAAAGCCCAAACCCACAGGACAGGAGTGCCTTGGGCACAAGACAGGCCTACTGCAGGACCAAGGGCAGTGGGCTCAGAAAACGGTGCCGCCACCAAAGGCCGCCCTGACCTTGGATTGCTGAGAAAATCCTCCTAGGAAGTCTGCTCTGAGTTGCCCAAACACACTTCTCAGCATTTAGCTGAAAAACTGCTTTATGCCCTTATAATTTTGGATTGCATTTGTCTACAAGTAGCTGTTTAACCTTGAGAAAGTTACAGCAGTCTTCGCATGGTCCTTGAAGTGAGACTCTCGCAGGCACGGTGCCCGTCTAAATATATGTCGGCTGAAAAAAACGGCTCAAAAATAAACGTGTCACGGGAACATTTATTGGTTTGGCAAAGTTGAAAGATTGTTTCTAATGATTCTGAAAAGTGGGGAGACCCCTCTGTCCCACCGTGTCTGATGATGGAGTTCTTGGTAAGAACAGAAGATGCCCTCGCGGAGTTCTGCCTTAGTTCAGCTACTTGTTGGGTCTGGCCGCAGCCCAGGGGAAGGACCACTGCCCTGCTTCCTGGCTCACAGAAACTTCACACAATGTGATGGCACATTCATCTTTATCACTGTGATAATTATACCTTCTAATTGCATAGCGAAGAGGCACTGGCTGATCTTTCCTGGGCTGCTGTGAAGGATTTGCTTTTTCAATTTGATCTTTAAGTTCTGACCCCAGAAGCATGAAAGTCACACATGTTAAAAAATACTGCTGTTTAATTTTCTAGTCAGGTACTTTAAAAAAGCCAATACAATTAGATTTTTTTTTTTTTAATCATCTTTTCAGCTCTGCCCCTGAACCACCCCAGAGCAGCTACACATCTTAATGTTCAGCACTCGTATATAAATGGAGAAGCCCCTTGGAGGAAGCTTGTAGGGACTTGTCCAAGTTGTAGGCACATCTGAGGGGCACTGGGTATCCAGAGATGTGAATGAAACCCTGTGATGTCCACAGCCAACTTTCTGCCCTTACAGTCTTGTTTCTCTGAGAAACAGGATGTTTACATAGCAATGAAGACAACAGACACGCAAGGCCTTTTTCTTTATCTCCTTTGCTCTTCTGGCTTATCCTCATACCCACTTTTGTCTACACCAGTGAACCCATTTATTTCCAGTTACCCATCCTGGAAAATAGTTCTCTTGTCATTTACCAACCCTTACATTCAGGTACAAATGAGGGACTTTGTAAAAAAAAAAACAAAACTGCCACAAATACGATATAATGGCCACTGATACAATTCTACTATAGGTATGCTAGCACGCAGGCAATCACCATATTGTATTAGAGACATTTTATTGAAAATGCGAAAATAGGAAATGTATTATAGCCTAAAATAAATTACATAACATATACAGCATATATTTATATCTTTAAAATATTTTTTTTTGTTTAGGTTCTTTCAGTCTCGTTATTTTGACTAAATCAAGAATTTAGTGACTTGTGTCCATAATTTTTTAAAGGAAAAAACCCGCTTTCAAAAACTTAGAAAAATATACTGCACTAAATGGACTTCCAATGCATTATTTCAGGGAATATCACATAGTGACTTTGATAATTGTTTATAAAATGTCTTGCTTTATGGTGTGTGTGCGTGAGAAGTACCGTAGTACACTCTGAATTACCTGTACCGCACAGTCGTGACTAGGAACGGCAGAACCAGGTAATACATCTACTTCAAAGGTTAGGAGAGAGCAATCTGGCATTAGAATGCTAGATTATGACTTAAAGCTTCAGTTCACGGTAAAACTAAGTGGAAAGTTAGAACGCGCCGTTTAACTCGCTCTAGCGCCACCTTCAGGAAAGGTGCGTGAAAAGCAAGCCTTCGGGGAAAGTCATGCGGAGGGATGCTGGCACGGAGGGATGCTGGCATTTGGAGGTGCGCCTGTGGGACAACTTCGAAAAATTAGCTCATGTATATACACGGTGGGGTGTGACAGCTCGCTCAAACTGGAACACACGAAGTGAGGTGCTGCTCTTCTTGACCTGCCCGTCTGCTACTCTGGGGGCATCATACAGCTTCCTACAGGAGATTATTTCCATACATCAGCCTGGCGTGGTCACGGGTCTGTTGTTCGGTATGAAAGGCGACTCCAGCTGCAGGACGTGGCCACCTTCTGCGTGTGGCAGACAGTTGACGAGTCCGCGGTGGAGGGGAACTGCAGTGGCTGCCGGGGCACATCCCTGTGCATCCATGGTGCCTAGAAGCAAGTCAGGGGGGCCGTGCTTTTACCTGCTGATTCAAAACAGACAAAGGGACAGAGTCTGTGGCCGGCTGGGCAGAGAGGCCTGCCAGGCGGTGGCGCAGCTGCAGTCCTTTGGTTCCAAGTGGAGATTGTTCGGGGAGGAGTAGAGCCTTCGACTATGAGGCAGCTATGTCTTTCGGGTTTTTATGAAGCAGGGGCACAAAGTCAATGGTTTTGTGTTTACAAAGCGACAGTAAAGACCCTTGCTTAGGTCCCCACATCAGTGTGAGCATACCCAGTATGCTAGAGGATTTACACGAAACCTTTAAATCAAGGCCTCTCGTTGGGAGGGGAGGGGGGGGGAGGGGGGGGAACACAGTGGGAGAGGGAGGAGATGATGCGAAGTGTCGTCCAGCGGTCCCTGCAGTGCCCCTCGGTGTCCCGTGCTTCATTCTCGCTCCTCTCTCATTTCCACGACGTCTGTCACCTCCTCAGCGGGAGGCATGTCCGTCATTGCGGAGTCTTCTCCCTCTGTGGCGGACTCATTCTCCATCTTCTTTTTCTAGATCAAAGCAGACTCGTCAGTGGGGGCTGTGCCCAGGGACACTTCACAGTGCAGTTGTGACAGGGAGAAGCCACCGGGGAGCGGGTGGGTCGCTGAGCTGCGGACTAGATCTCATTTACGGCTGGGGTGCCTTCAGTAGGCTGCATCTTGGTCCAGCACATTCTGGTCGCTTTGCTTGTTCGTGTGCCTCGCACAGTCCTAGGCACCTGGGGACACATCTCACCCGCCTGCCTGTGTGCCCTGGAACCGTCTCAGACACTGTCCCCCGCAGCCCTTTCAAGTGCAGACTGCCATCCACTCCCGCCCCACGGTCACCTGCGAACTGCTGTCCTCCTCCCCGAAGCCCTGAGCTTTGAATCTAGAATATGTCCCCCTGGTCTGTCGTCAGTTCTCTGGGGCTCACTGCAAGTGAAATCCCCCCATTCAGGCTTTTCTAACATGGTTAATACTACTACTTTCTACATTTTTAACTATTTGTAGGTAACACTGGGATGTAGGATGACAGACATCGATCCTTGTAGTTATCTCCTGTGAGAAACATGACAGAGGGCGGCACAAGGAATGATTATGTACAGAGTCCACCCAAAACTTGCATGCACTCCTCAGCAGCTCATACTAGTAAATGCCTGGAAGCTCACAGCCGCCCCTCTGGGCGCTTCTTGTAGCTGTAGAGACCAAGGGCAACTTGTGTTCATCTCATCATGTCTCCATAAATGTAATATGAAGATATTTACAAGCTTTTCTTTTCCTGACGTGTTTACTTTTTTGGTGGACTCTGTATATAATGACAAGCGTGACATCCTCATTGTGTTACTAAATCTGACTAAGGCTGAGGTGAGGCTGGCCCCGAGGGCTTCTCACACAGAGCTGGCCCTGGAGCTGCGGTGGGCAGGGCAGACCCTGGGAGGATGGGATGAAGGTGCAGGGCCCACCATGGCCGCCACCACACAGGTGTGGACACGGGCTCGGGGCTGCAGACACCCGGGCGGGACTTGGCAGCTGTTAGCAGCCCTCACCTGTTTCCGGTAGACATAGCATGCTGCGATGGCGACCATGGTGGACTCTCCCACGAAGCCTGCGAGCAGGGAGCCCACGCCCAGGGTGGCTCCGTGTACCCTGGGGATGAGAAGGTGCAGGTGGTTTAAACATCTGTTAAAGCACATCAAGGCATAGCAGCTGACACCAAAACCCATTGCTGAGGCCCAGGAAGGTGCAGATGGAGATGTGTTTGGGAAGGGCTGATCCTAAGGCCCACCCTCGGGGGTGGGGGGACCTAGAACCAGAGCTGAGCCGTCTCCTTCCCACCACCAACATGGGCTCCTTGTGCCCAGCATCAGCTCCGCCCTGCTGACCAGCCTTGTCCCCTCACGGGAGCCTGGGAGCTCTCAGAGGGCGGGGACGCCACCTCCCTTCCAGGCTAGCTCCTCCCCACCTGGGCTCCCGGCCCACAAGGTGCCTGTCGTGCCCCGTGGGCTTCACCTGGGGAGGTGGCAGCATGCAAACATGCTTCCCAGTGCCTGGCTCTATTACGCCTGGGGCTTTCAGCTGAAGCGGCAGAGTTTAGCCCTCTGGACAGGGTACTTGGTGGCAGAAGGACCCCCAGCCCCAAGCCCCTGGCGACATACCCCAGGTAGGGCAGGACCACGAGGCTGGTGATGAGCACGATGATCCGCAGCACGGAGCTGGGCGCCAGGACAAAGGTCTTCTTCAGGGTCATCAGCCACCCGGTGAGATGGGCCCTGACAGTGACTGGGAGACAGTGGAGGGCTCATTAGCTGTGCCCGGCTGCTGCCCCGAGACTCCCACCTTCCCACAGCTGGAAGCCGACCTTGCTGCAGGGGTGCCGCCCTGCTCTGAGTCTGGCTGGGGTCGGCCTGCGGTTCCCACCCTGGTTCCCACCGCCCATAGGCCTAGCATCTAGATGGCCGATGCAGGTAGGGGCCTTGTTCCCCAGCCACTGTCATCTTCTGATGGCCTGCCGCTCCCACGATGGCCCTGCCCCATCACCAGCCCCACCACCCGGCTCTGGCAGTCTGCCTCTAGGAGGAAACCTGGGGAAAGGCCAGAAGCCGTCTCCCTCCCACCGGCCAAGTGAGGCCAGGAGACGAGGGCTGGGGGTAAAGAAGGGCGCTGCAGTTGTCCCCACTTCCCATCAGGTCCATCCTGTCCTCCTCCGCTGCCCTGGTTGTTCCAAGCTCGGACATCCACCACTTGCCCGCCGTGGTGCGGGACCCTCACAGCAGTCCTCCTTGTTCCTGGGTAACAACTGCTCCCAGTGGCTGGAAGGCAGAACCTCCTGTCTTGGGTACAGAGCTGCACCCCCAGCCCTGCTGTCCTCGTGCAGTCCTCAGTGTGTCCCACTGTCCCCAGGGGTAAAAGTGTTGTATTAATGAGGCTCACCTTCTCTTAGGCACAGACACCTTCACTTAAATTTGGCCAGGGGAGACACTAAGGATCGAAGGCACATCTAATCTGGTGGCCCAACCCAAACCCTGTCAGATGGGGCCTGACAGCTGTCTGAAAGGTCCTCATCTCACAGGCAGAGATGGAGCCAGAGGAGGCCGCAGGTGAGTTGCACACCCAGAGACAGCCTGGCCCAGCAGGGTCTGTTTGAGATCTGGCCCTTCACTGGGTCACGACTATGGGAAGTGAACCACACATGTCTCATTCTAGTGTGGACTCCTTAGGTGGCGTTCACTTTCCAAAGCTTGGCTCATCCAGGATCTACCTGACAAAGGCCGGATGCCACCCTGCTGTTCCTGTCACAGCTTAGAAGGTAACACCTACCAGTCCTGGCCTCCAGAACGGCTCAGTGCCTAAAAGTGGGGACTGACTGTTGCCTCACTTGGGGACAGCACGGTTTGGCAGGTGTGCCATCAGCCCTGGCCTGATGATTTCTGGAGCTCATATCTTAACCAACTGAGGCTTTGTAGAACCTAGCCTCTAGGTTTAATGATTTGTCAGTGGTGGCGAACATTTTAGAGCTTTCAATAATACAATCAGCCCACTGCGGCACATGTGCTGTAGGTTTGCCACCACCGATTTCCGTGGATTATTTTTGACAATTTTTCTTTCTTTCATGCTAGGGATTAAGCATATTAAGCATGTGAGCTTACACCCTCAGAACTGGCAATTTATTTTTGACTAGGTAACACGCACTAGGTGCAGAATTTAAACAGTGCAAAAAGAAATACAGTGTGGAGGTGTTTTTAATCATGCCTATTCACACCCCGTTCTGCTTTCCACATCAACCCCTGGTACCAGCGTGGTGAATTACTCCTAGGAACTCAATCTAGATACTGAAGCCCTTGCTGCATATACAGTGATGCCTCAGTTCATGAACTTATTTATTCCACAATTTTGGAGAAGATCACACTTGTATTTGTGGGGAAGATGGCTGTGGTTGTTTGTGTCACCTGATATCATTTGGAAACAAAACAATTTTACCAAGCATGTTTTTTTGTGAACTAAGTTATCTGCAAACAAAAGTGTTCCTGAAATGAGGCATCCCTACGTGTGTGTGTGTGTGTGTGTGTGTGTGTAATATATATATTACAAAGATACTGTATCTCTGCTAGACATTTGCTATTGCAATGGTTGAATAGCCATAAACCACTGCACTGCTTGGTTGTGTCATTTAACCTCGAACAACCCTATTCTTGTGTAGTACACCACATATGACTGACTCATCTTGGCAACGTCCGCCTTGGCTTATGTTTCTGCTGTGGGAATTTTCCTTTTTGCGTCTGTGCTACCTGGCCTCCACTCTGCCCCCGGACTCTTCTTTTCCCCAAGCGTGGTTTTCTTTTTCCATACAGCTCCAGGGTTCGGAAGTCTGCCCTGTCCATTTCCTTTTTCTTTTTTAACCTGTCACCCTGTAAAACTGGCATTTGGAATATATAGTTCGAATAACTGCAAGTCACGCATAATTTTGTGTATTCATCGCCACAGTGAAGACAAATGATGGAATTACCATTCCCTCCAAAACTCCTCGTGCTTTTTTCTGGGTCCCCTGTCTTTTTACTGTTTGGAACAGTATTCCTCTTTGATTTATTCATTGAACTTTTAACCTGGTAGCTAATGTCTTCACATCCTTCTAATCTACTGTGGAATATTATATTTTTGTTGGTGACGTGTTGCAGTGATTTGACATTTCCAACAAGACGTGGCTGGGCAGGAGGGTAGATGGGAATGCCTTTGTTCCTTACCTGGAACCGGGAAGAAGGAGAAGATACGCAGAGGAATGACGCAGAGCTCAGCAAAGGCAAAGTCCACTCCAATGATGTCTATCAAAATCTTCTCGGAGACATTGGGGGTCCAGAACATCACAAAGCAGAGCTGGAGGGCAACATCGAGCAGAGTTGTGAGGAAAAGCAAGAGCAAACCGAGAGTCAGGGGTGATGTGCACTGAGGCGTTCCAGAAGATGGCACACCTGCCTGATCAGGTGGCTGGCACACCTGGGCCTCAGCTGCATGTCCCTGGCTTGTTCTCACCTGCCAACAGGGGCGCCAGTCCATGCGCTCCACCTGTCCCCAAGGGATCCTGTGGTGTAGCAGATGTGGCACATCTGCTGTGGGTTGTATCTCAGTGGGTAACCTGGCCGAGGACGGAGAGCAGTGTGCTCCGTCAGTGCCTACCCAGCGGGCTGCAAAGCCCGGTTCATTCTGGGCGGACACACTTGTTCATGGAATCTCAGCCTTACAACAGTAGAGGCCTGAAAGCCTCTAGCCCTTGGATGGTATGCAACACGTAATGCAAGGAAATACTCGTGAACTTTCTAGGTCTAATTAGGGAGTAAGGGAAAGAGATGAAAGCACAGCTCTGGAACTCTGAAAAGCAGAAGGAAGTGGAAAATGGACTGAACAGACTCAAGGAAGTGGAATTTTGAACCAAGGGGAGGGGAGCAGAGTTCTCTGCCCTCCCCACTTTCTTCCCCACAGACCAGGAGGTTCTGGGAGGTGGGGGCCCAGCAGCCGGGGGCTGATGGGCAGTGTCTCCCCAGACTCAGCAAGACATGGAAATTTTGTCTCTGGGTAAGCAAAACGGGGGTGCTGACATGGTTGAGGATGGAGTTATTACGTAGAAAATAAGGACTACAGGACGGGTGATACCTGCTGCCACCACCACCTGACCTCCCTCCTATCTCTCCCTTTCCCCTGCTCTTTCTCCTTAGCACCCAGAACACAGAAAACCAGCTGAGTCCCCAGGCAGGAGATCCAGAGTGAGCAGTTTCAGAGGAATCTGACCAGACAAAGACGGAAGACTAAACGTTCTGAAAAATTTGAGGCTCCCTAAGATGGAAGTCGGCCATCAGTGAGGCCTACCCAGGTGATGGATCCCAAGAGGCAGGGAGAGCTCCACTGATAAAAATGAGTGCACACCCAAGGGCCGCTGGACCTTGGTGAAGGCCTCTAATATGAAGAGGTCCAGGCAACAGAATGGAAACGTTTGAAAAGATGAGAGTCACAGAACAAAGAAGGGCTGGGGATTAAGAAGAGGAAAGCAAAAGTGAAAAATCTACCGAGTGACAGGGAGATGAAGTGAGGGAAGGCTGCCACAAAGACAGAGCCGAGGATAAAGGCATGAGAAGCAGAAGGGAAAGAAGGATAGATTAAAAAACAAGCAAACAAATGCAAAACCGACAGAGGTCCAACATCCGGATAATAGGAGTTCCAGGAAGAGAGAGCACAGTGCTTGGGAAAAGACCCCTCAAGGCTCACTCTCAGCCAGACCCGGGACAGGGAAGACCCAAAGCAGCTCCCAGCTGTAGGCTGCTCAGCAGCGCCGACAGCAGGGAGACAGGCAGCACTGGTTTGGAGGGAAAATGACTTCTCTCCTAGATCTCTACACCACACTGTCAATCCGGGTATAGGAAGACACCTTACTTCTCAAGACCTCAAAAAATTTACCTTCCACGCATCCTTTTCGGGAAGCTACTGGGGTCTGCTTGGCTGAACAGGTCACAGGATTGAACACAAGAGAAAAGCAAAGGGAAACTGGGGTCAAGGCAAAGGACGATCTGAGGAAGGCTGTGACAGTAACAGGTCAGGGGTCCACGCCAGAGAAGTCACAAGGCACCCAGGGACGCTTCTTCGACAGGGCAGAACAGATAGGACAATGAATGTTTCTGTGTGATGGTGAGGCGTTTATGCAAAGAAGGCAAGCGGGAATCACTTACTGGTAAGTACACAGAAAGCTAAAAAAAAAATGACAAGGCCATTGTTAAATCCAGGAAAAACTAGAGATGTTTAATCAAGGAAGAGAACCGCAGATACCATAATCTATCAAGAGGATTTACCATGTTATCCCAGTTTAGCATAGTGACAAGCTACCAAAAGAGTTGTGGGATGCCCCTGGGAGCCGAAAGGGTACATGGTCAGAGGCAGAAGGGGCATGGCTACTGGTACCCCTCCTTACAGAACCAGCTTCTAAGACTGCTTGTAGATTTAAAGAATGGAAAGATACACCTTCGGAAGATAATGTTATAAATCTGCCAGCTCCACCAAATATTTATCTTTTTTTCCTAAAATGTGAGTAGTTCTTCTCTAAAATAAGACTGAATACATTATAAAGTGAATTATAGTAGTGTGAAAGCAGAACACTGAAATTTTAGATATAACATCTTTTATGTTTGGGCTAAATTAAGTTTCACGGAATCAGGCTGGTACTATTTACTATGTCATGTTGAACCATTCTTAAAAATACCTTGGAGGATCTATTATAAATGTGTTTCACCTTATAAATGCAAGAGAATTTTTTCCTATGAATTTTCAGCATCTGGGAAGTATATCCCACTAGTTTTTAAAAAATGGCAGATGTGCTATTACTTAATCCTATTGCGGGCTGCCAGCACTCACACCCCATTTTGACGGGAAGGGAAAAACACTCCCTTAGATTTAGCAACTTGGAGCTCGGGGGCTTTATTACTCGAGTGCCCTGGCTGAGGGGCTCGTCATGTTTTCCCACTGTAAACCTGCCTGCCTTAAGACAGGGAGACACCGCTCACAGCTGCAGCCCAAGCATGGTGGCATTTTCCTATAACTCCAAAACAACCCCAAGGATGGTGTTGGGATGTGATTTATTCCCCCATCTGTATCCCACCCCAACAAACAGATGCATCCCTCCTTCCATCTTTGCTTTACATTAGGCCCCAAATATTTCCCATGTCTGCAAGGAGTCTGTGCGTTAGGCACTCAGAGGTGGCTACTCCCTCTTACCCTGATGGTTAGGATGGGAGATGCACTCATACTCTGCTCAGAACTTCGGCTTCCAGGAGAATCATTAGCATGCTTTATTTTGCAGCCAGTGGTAATGTGAATGCGAGATAATGCCTCAAACACATGTTGCCGTCTCTTTGGGCTTTGCAAAATCATCGTAAAGTGACTTTTAAGTTAGAACAAACCAAGGAGAAAGGAAAGTGTAATTGCACATCAGAAAGAAGGATAGTGTGCTCGTGCTTCTGCGGGAAACAAGCCAGGTAATTCTTCCCTCTGGCTTCGGCACACGGATAATGTTCCCCTGGGGGCTTCTTACTGCCTTACAGGAAAGGATCAGCTGTCCTTTGGAGGAACAAGTCTAACAGGAGGACACAATGGTAGTGCATGTGCCCGCTCACTTAAAACACTTGCATCAATGTCCACTCACCGGCGCAGGTGACTGCAGTACACCAAGATGTTAAGGTGTGACAGCTCTCATGGGAACTTTCTGGACAGCAGCTCAACGTCCCATTCCTAAAGTTCCAGGGTGTGCCATACACTACTAAATCAGTTTTCTATCTGGTGTTTCCTGGGTCGGACATCCCGGGAAGATCCCCTATCAAGTCTCGCACCACAGAGGTGCCTCTTCAGAGTTTTCAGCCACTCCACTGAGGTCTATTTTGGGTCTTCTAAGGGTGTGGGAGCTGAACGCTGTCATGGGCCCGGGGCTTGCAGTGTACACTGGTAGCTACACGGAAGGAATGCTGTGTTTATCACAGCTGCCTTTCTCCCTCCCCCTGAAGTCTCTGCCATGCTTTGGGTAGGAAAGTGCTATGTCATCGGCCAGCACTTCCTTCACCGAGGCCATACATCTTGCACCATCTAGAAACGACTGCATGCAACTCCCAGGTAGGTGGTATGGCACTGCCAAAGGCCATGACACCCACCTGCAGCACAGCTTTCTCTGAGCAAACAAAGTGCTGAGTCCTGGCGTGATAATCAGACCTAAGTTAACCAGTCTCCTTCAGAAAACAAGATGCTTCAGAAGTTAACCTGACTAGGAACATTTCAGGAAAAGTGTCATTTTTCTGAGTTTACCCAGAGTGGTCTTGCTCAGAACATGCCCTCCCAGTTGACCATGACATGCTGTGTTCTTCAAATATTTGCAGAGTCCAGTGACACTGACTTTTCCAAACCAGAATGCAAACATAATAAACCACTGGCAACGAACAGGACTCGTTCCTCTAAGCGGCTGCGGGGTTGGGGTTTCTGCTGCAGTTTGTTGTCCAAATCATCTCATGAGGAAGCAGCCTTCAAAACAGAATGACCCACCCCATGCCCAGATCTTGGTTTTCTATTTATTTTCCAATCAATGACTCATTCTAGAACCAGGCTTGGGAATATTCAAGATGATCAGCCTGGAGTATCTGTAGTGCCAGAACCAAAAGAAGTGCTCAAGATAAAACCATGGGACATGCCAAGGGGACAGAGAAAGGGCTCCCAGTGGCCAAAGCTGTAACAGTTTCAGCAACACAACAATAACGAAGTACTGAATTAGAAATAAAAGTATGAAATGAACACACACAAGTCCATACTGATATAAACAAACAAATGGAGGAGGGGGGACAGATATGCCCAGAATTCTAAGGATTTCATTGCCCCCCCCACCCCGTGGATGGCCCATGCCTTGCACTCCTTAAGTGTGTGCTGACTTCGGTAACATCCTTCTAAAAAGCACAGTATGGGAAGATGCAGAAAGCAGACAAGAAACCCGCCAGACATCATTACCTAGGCCAGGTGGTCAATGTCAAAATCAACAGGAGGACTTGCGTCCAGAGCACCGGACTGGGATTCAAAGAAGCCAGCGCTGCCATCAGCATCTGAACCTGGGGAACTGCAGTGGTGCAGACATTTCTGCGTGTCCCTGGAGAACTCCGTCCCACAGGAGCGCTGAGCAGTGCTCTGCTGTGGCTTCATCTCCAGGAGTGGACGGACCACACCTCCGAGGGACTCACAAGGCTTTCTTCATTATCCTGATTAATCAGGGTTTGGCATTAAATGAGAGTCCTTGTCCTCTGCAGTAAGCAAAAGTAAAATCCACCCAGCTGATCTGAATTAAAAGCCCCAGACATCATTTTCATTTGGAGTTTTACTCAGGCTCATAATCCACCACTGGGGAAATCAGTGGTGAACCCTAAAATGCAGAACACAAGGAGCTGGTTTGGAGCGTGGCTCTGCAGCCCGATGGCCTGGGTTGGATTCCAAACCTACTGTTTCTTGGTAGTTTGCTGGGCTCAAGTTTCTCCAGCACGCGGGGCCTCACTGCCTTCATCTCTGCCTCAGGGATGTCACCCCCAGCCGTCCTCAGCAGAGCCAGTCTGCCCCCTGCCTGGACCTGTCCTCGCTGAGAAAAGGAGCTGACTGTATAAAGCCAATCAACACCCCGCTACCCTGATCGAGAAAGTCGTCCCAGGCACAGAAGCTTCTCCCTGGGCCCACACATTGCCCGTGACCCGTCCGGGTCTGCTATTATTCCTGTAAGAGGTTTCACAGGCCTGCAGTAAAACGTTAACAGCGGAATCATCCGTAGTCAGTGAGCTGGGATTGATTTCATCTTCCTCTTAGTATTTTTCCACAAAGAATACTGATGTAAAAAGAAAAAATCAGGAGAAGCTGGGTGGGGTGGCGCACTCCTATAATCCCAGCACTCAGGACATGAGGAAGGAGATAGCTGTGAGTTCAAGGCCAGCCTGGGCTCCATAGTGAGTTTGAGGCCCGCATGAATTACACAGCGAGACCTTGTCTCAAAAAGAACCCCCAAAAATCAGAAAACCAGTTTTAAATAAAGCAATTCCTGGACCTGTGCTCACAGGAAAGCTGGCCTGCATATGTGCACGTGGCAGCGATGTGAGGTGTCCTGTGTCAGGGTCGGGGACAGCTCCCACCCCAACAGGTGCCAATCACTCCACACGAAGCCACACTGTTACGATACACTTGGGGTGCAGGGCCCCAGACAGGGCAGCTCGCCGTCAGGTAGCACACTCCTATCCTGGGGGCTTCTCAGAGAGCTGATGTAGGCTCAGGAACACTGCTCGGCCCTTGACTGTCTGCATCCCATCTTGCTGGCTGCTTCTGTGCGCACGTGTGTGCGTGTGTCCCTCGAAGGGTGCTGCAGTTCACGTCATGCCTCTGCTTTCACTTGGAGAGAGATGGCAGCCATAGAGGTGTGGGTGGAGGAGTCGGGATCAGATGCACACCGTGACAGCCTCCCTTGGTGCTGTGTGGGCGGAGGCAGGCAGGCCTGTCAGGGACGACTCTGATAATAATCCAGGTGTGAGCCTGCCCGGGCTCGGGCTGGTGGTCTGATTTGGAAGAACGGACAGTAAGGACGCAGCAGTGCTGAGGGAGAAGCGTGCGGATGGAAGAGGAGCTGGCCAAGTGCCACGGCTGGGGCAGGAGGCGAGGCTGCTTCCAGAGAACCCGACTTGTCCTTGCCTGTTCTCACAGGCAGCCAGAGGTCCTTCCTGAGACCAACACTTCAGGGCAGGTCACCACCTCCCAAGGGGACCGTGCGGCACGTCAGGACGGAGCATCAGGGTGAGCCCAGCTTTGGTGGAAATAGCAATGTGGACATGGTGTGGGAAAGTGCCCAAGGAGCCCAGCAATCCTGGCGTGGTTGGCACAGGAAGGGACGTCTGTCCACTGGCTGCTGCTCCCGAGGACTGCTGACTCCTTTGAAGGGCGACCTTGTACAAGCCCTGAGGAGCAGCGGGCGAGAGGATGGGAAAGGGGCAGGTGGGGAAACTTTTGCAGAAGGACGAAGGTCACACAGTGACGGACAGTGGGTGGGGTGGGGACTGACGTAAGGGCAGGCCGAGGGGAGCTTTACTAGTCAACCCCGCCTGTTCCAGACAGAAGCAGAGCTTGGCCTCCTCCACCATGGAGCTCAGAAAAGCATGCGACACAGTAGTTATGTGGAACCCAATATTCTCCACCCGGCTTGTTGATAATCAACTATATTATTGTCATCTATCTAGGCGAATTCCAAGAGTCAATGTCACCACCAGCTGTCACGGTAAAAAAAAACAACAAAAAACAAAAAACGAGCATTTTTGATGTACTTCTGTAATCTTGTTTTTAAAGAATGAGAGAACTAAATTGGCCCTCCCATGGTTTAGGTTTAATGAGACTGTCAAATACATACCCTTCCGGTACACAATCAGTGTCTTTCAGATCTGAGACCACCCACAATTCTTAGCAAGGCACAAGGGCGAGGTGGAGGGAACAACACACCTCATCAACAGCAGGGGGCGCCATGCACCAAGCCGCAGAGGGCATTGGGAGTAAGTTCAGTTTGCAGGATGAATAGTTGTGTGATACATGGTGGTGACGGCCCTGTGACCACAAGAACGTATTCAACTACACGGCCAGAAATGGTTAAGCTGGCAAATCTTAGGTTGTGGCATTTACCACGACTTAATTTTTTTTTAAAATCAAAACAATACAACCTGCTCACTCTTTGGTAATTGTTTTTAAAATATCCACATGGATCTGCACTGGCATTTTACTGAGGGTTTGGGTAGGGCTTTAAGGGCCAGTCTTAATGATCTGAATGTCTCCTGAGCTCTCCCAGCCACCAAGGAAACCAATCAACCCTCAAATCTCCAAGGCACGCTGATTTAAAAAGCAAATGGCGGACAAAATGCTGATTTCAGATACCTCCAGAGAGAAGTGTGAATGACGCGGGGCGGCTGCTCCGAAGAAACTCTGCCCGTTACTTATCACAGGCCAAGAGCTTTCCGTATGTTTTTTCATCGAACCCTCAAAAAGTCCTGGGGTAGGGGCCTTGTTCTTTGCTCCTCTATGAGGAGAACACTGACCCCACAAGGACTTGTCCCAAATCACTTGTTGGCAAAGGGTGGGGCGGAAACTTCAACCCAGGCCCCGGAGACTCAGAAACCTCTCCCTGTTTCTGGGATGTCCTAGGGCTCTGGAATGTTCCTGCCCATCGAACAGTGCCCTGGTTTGAGGAAGTTGTGAACTCTGTACATTTACCTTGGTCCTTTTTTCCACCCCCCTTGCACAACAGAGTCATTTTCCTCTCTGGATAATGGGAACAAAGCAGCAGCAGTCTCCACCTCAGGGCGCGGGGGCGGGGCGCCCAGCCGAAACAAAGGCTCACACAGGCCGCCTTTGTTGGAGACAAAGGCCAGCGTGGCACCAGGGCAGGGACAGGCCCCTGGATGCCCGGGTGGCTGAGTGACAGCCGCGCCTGAGGCCAAGTCTGGAGGAAGATGATCCTGGTCATTCTTGGGAACCCAGCTAGAGACCTCTGACCAAGGCTCTGGGTTTCACTCCATCAGCTTGGATTTTGCCCTTTCTAGCACACCGTCTGAAGACTCAGAATTAACGTGCTCTACGAGACGCAGCTTTGTCCAGAGGACAGGGTGCAACAGTAACCAGGGTGTTCCTGGTGAGACCAGAGCGGGAGTCCCACCTTTAGATGTGGGTAGCAGCTAAGGACGGGAGCTGAGCGGTCCATCGGACCTGCGAGGTGGCAAGGCCTTTGGATTATGACAAGAGCCTCCACCTGAGGAAACCGAGGACAGGAGAGGCAGGCCCGACTGCTAGGCAGCGTGTTTTCCTTCGCTGCTTTTCTCCCTGTATCTATCAGCAGGGACTTAGAGACTTACGCAGATCCCCTAGGAGCAGGTGGCAGCCAGGCCCTGCCTGGGGGATTACAGCACTGTAAATAGTGGCTGCGTCCTGACCTTGGGGCCTTGCGGAGGCGGTGGCAGGCTGTGGCGGCGCAGAGCCGGAGTCCTGGTTAGGGCGTTGGAAGGGCGCGCCCGAGGACCTGCCCACTGCGGGCAGTGTGAGCAGTGAGGGTGTCTGCACCTTACAGAATGCGCCCTGGCGGGTCACAGGGAGACTGACCACCCCTTCTCTGGTGCTTTCCGCAACTCCTGGCGCATCTCTGAGGCCTGAACCTCTGACACTAGGACTTGTTCTGCTGACCAAACGCTTCCTCTGCAGCTTTGTGGGGCGTACTCCCGGGTGCAACCTGGGCTCCACGGGCCTCTTCTGGGCAGGGAGGCAGGAAGCAGAGGCAGTCGGCTGTGCAGCAGCTGAGGCGCGACTCCAAGCCTGGGTTTCCCCAGAAAGAGCGCAGGAGGGGACTTCCACAGCCTCTGGGGTCGCTGCTCCTCTCCGGCAGCTCTGACCTACCCTCCCGGCCAGGCTGACCCTGGGAAGCTTATGAGATGGAGAACAACCTGGTGACAGAGGCCCAGGAGCTGGGCCTGCAGATGCC